GTGTGTGTGTGTGTGTTTTGTGTGTGTATGTGTGTGTGTGTGTGTGTGTGTGTGTTGTTTCCTTCCTCTTAGCTGACCGACTAAGCGAAATGTGCAGTGTAGCTTTTTGTCGACATGAGCTGCAAGGTAATGACACTTGTGCTCTTTTGGTAGTTAGTCCTTGTAATAACCTGAATTATGTCACAATTGTCAGAATGGGTGTTTCCAACATTTCAGTTTGCATTACTCCTCCTCGGTTACCATAGAAACCAGACTGTAACATCATCTCTTTGTCCCAGTCCTGCAGCAGTGAGGGCCAACACCAGACTTAGAAGACAGTGGTGATCTGACAAAGCAAATCATTCACTCTGGACAAAAAAAAAAAGGAAAAAGAGAGAAAGATGTGGAGAGAGTTGGGGCGGGGAGGGGGAGCTGGGGGGGGCAATGTTCCTGCAGCATCTTTGTTCAGGTTGCTGTTTATTGACCAAAGGATTGTGCCTATGTAAACATGCACCTATGTTGTACCTATTAACTGCAACTACCGACACCCACAGGTAGGGCCATGAACACTACTCCCTGCCTTTGGTTCAGGTCTGTGTGTGTTTCTACCCACCCAAATGCATTTGAGACCTGTGAGGGCAGAGATGGTCCTTAGGCAGGAAAATGGCTCTTTATGGCAAATTAGTTCCCACTGGTAAGGGACCTTTCACTCCTTCTTTCCTATAAAGTAGAGCAAGGCTCCCCAGTGCCCATTTCATTGACTCCATGATATTGGAGTGTTCCTTTTTATTTCCTACTATATGAAGCATCTCTTGTACAAATACATCCCCCTCCAGGCAGGCTCCGAGATGGGCAGCACGCATCTTTGGACAGAACTAAGTATCAGCTAGGGAAAATAAAGACCTGGATCACAACTTGGCCAGCTATTGAGAATAAAAAAAGCTAGCCAGCTATTTGACTTCACATTTGGATTTTTAAAAAAAAAACTGTTTTAATTTGGTCATTTAAAAATTGATTTCATTGCAGCAGAGAGAGGAGGAGGGAAGGAGGAGAAAAGATATACTTGAAACCACAGACATTTTCCTTCTTACACATACACACAGTTCTGAAGGGTGGAAGGACATGGTCAAGGTGGTTGCTAAATTTTTCAGGTTACAAAATAATATATAGAATAAGATCTTATTTAAAAAAAACAATGATTTGCAAACTATGGGAGCTATGTTAATAGCAACGATTCTTGGCAGGTAGAATTAGAGTATTCTTCCTTGTTATCAACAACAAAACCTGAAGTCTCTGAAAGGAAAATAAAATACCTGTCTAGTGGGGGTAGCTTACATCCTAATTGCGTTAGACAGACTTCCGATTTGAAGACGGTCTGCCACTCATTTGTGTCACCCATGATCCTCCACTTGGTGCTCCACCATCAGGATTATTTTGGGGTCCATGCAGGGTACAGAACAGTGATCACATACTCAGACACCCACCCAGACACCCCCAGAATAATAGGGTTAACAACTCAGGGATGATAAACTCCAGTTTTATATAGGGAGTTGGTGATAGAATAAAATGAAAGTCACTCCCATCAAAGAAAAGATGACTTGTCCAAATGCTCCTGGCCCCAAAGTACCATCTCTTCCAGACAGGATCTTTATGGCTGTGGATCTGTGAGCCTGGCTGATAGTTAGGGATCACTTTCCTAGAGATGTTTGTCTCAAGGGAAGGCAGTTTGGTGGCAGGTCAGCTCAGAGACCTCACTCCAGGGGGAGTGACTGGTAGCCAGGCAGTATAAGGAAAAGATGGCCACAGATTTTTGTTCTTCAGTGTATCTCCAGGAGGTAGTGCAGTGACTCTTCTGTGGTAGAGTCAATGAATAATTTATTACCAAATACAGTTTAAAAAGCAAAAGCAGAGTTTACAGTGGGTTTTTCTGTTTTGTTTTGTTTTGTGGTTTCTTTTTCTTCTTTCGTCAGTTGTAAGACTTGAACACTGGGCCTGGAATCTGTCCTTGAGCTTTTCTGTTCAAAGCTAACACTCTACCACTGAGCCACCGCTCCACTTCCAGTTTTCTGGTAGTAAATTGGAGATAATAATTTTATGGTAGTTCTTGCCTGGGCTGGCTTTGAACCACAATTCTTAGATCTCAACCTCCTGAGCAGCTAGGATTGTAGGTATGAGCCACCAGTGCCCAGCTGGGTATGCTGATCTTAACCAATGTCAGCCAAGACTTTTAGATTTGATATCACACACACAAAGAAAGAAAAAATTAGACATTGAAAGTTAGACATCTATCAAGAAAAAAGAAAAAGAAAATCTTTTGTGAGTTCGTTTGTTGAATAAAGGCTTGCTGCTATGTAACCCAAGCAGACCTTGAACTTGTATCTTCCTGCCTCAGCCTCTCTAATACTGTGATTAGAGGTGTGTACCACCACACCCAGACTACCATTATTCATTACATTCTCTTTACTATTGTTCTCTTTTCCTGCTAAAACATTACAAACATTCCCAGGATCCCTTCTGCTCTGTTTCTCCACTGTGTGTGTGTTCTTTCTTCTGCTTTGTGTTTCTCTAAAGATTCATATAGATGATCTCCAAGCACTTTGGGTTATTTGCTAGGTTTCCCTCTAAGATGTTTCCCCATATTAGATATGAGAAAAAAACCTTGAAGTGCTGAGACACTTCTAGAACTGAAAAATGCTAAGATTCAGCCTAACTCCTATGAGTGCTCTCAGGAGCCAAAAACAAAGATATCAAATAAAATAACAAGTGAATGCAATTTCAGCTGATTATATATATGTATATATACATATATGAGTATATGTATATAATATATACATATTTACATATATATACATACATAATATATACATATGTATATACACATATGTAAATATATGTATGTTACATGTATGTGTATACATACATATATACACACACATATATATGTGTGTGTGTATATATATATATATATATATATATATATATATATATATATATACTATGTGGGCGCTGGTGGCTCACACCTGTAATCCTAGCTACTCAAGAGGCTGAGATCTCAGAATCATGGTTTAAAAGCCAGCCCAGGCCTGAAAGACTGTGAGACTCATACCTCCAATTAACCACCAGGAAACCACAAGTGTCATTATGGCTCAAAGTGGTAAAGTGCTAGCTTTGAGCAAAAGAGTTTGGGGACATAGCTGGGAGCTGGTGGCTCATGCCTGTAATCCTAGCTACTCAGAAGGCTGAAATCTGAGGATCATGGTTCAAAGCCAGCCTGGCAGGAAAGTCTATGAGACTCTTATCTCCAATAAGCCACTAGAAAATCTGAAGTGGTGCTGTGGCTCAAGTGGTAGGATGCTAGCCTTGAGCTGAAGAGCTGAGGGACAGCACCCAGGCCCAGAGTTCAAGCCCCATGACCAGCAACAACAAAAAAAAGAGTTTGGGGACAGTGCCCAGGCCCTGAATTCAGACCCCACAACCAACAACTACAACAAAAATACTGCTTCTGGGCTGCTATGGAAAGCTGTGTGCGTGTGTGTGTGTGTGTGTGTGTGTGTGTGTGTGTTTGTGTGTGTGTGTATAATAGAAAGAGAAAGAGACAGACACAGAGGGAGGGAAGGAGGTAGGAAGGGAGGGTGAGAGAGATGGAGGAGAGGAAGGAGAAAAAGAGGAAGGAAGGAGAAACAATAGACGTTAAAAGAGACTACATTCTTTAAGATCTCATTTTAAAAAATAGCTTTTTGAGAGGTGCTACCATTTCTAGAATAAATCCATTGAACACCTGAGGCTCCATTTCCCTTTGTTTGAGGAAACATCCCCAAGACCACATCCCTTAGTTACCAAAAGCAAGCCTTATCCTTGGAGCAAAACTTGAATCTGAATGCAGATGGTGCAGTCTGAAAATTTTTGTTCTGTTTAATAAAAAGCAGCTGTGAGGTGAATGAAAAGCAACTGGTTCATAAATTCTTCTCACACACAACCAACTTAAATGTGGGCCATGTCTTTAATAAGCCCCTGGGTGGTATCTGACCCCAGAGATGAGGTCTTGGGGAAAAAGATAAAAGGAAAGAAACAATAAAAACATCCAACTTGCCTTAAAAGTAAGCAGCATTCACTGTTCTAGAGAGAGTCTAGAGAGTTTTAGGCAATGCTGATGCTGCCAAAGATCTGATCTAAAGCCGGGTTTCCCTCATGGTTACAGTATGGCTACCAGCTGCTCCCCTATTCCCCTCCAGACAAGGGATGTGTAGAAGCTTCTTTGCACAGCCTCCAAAAAGTATCAAGGAACTCTTGTTCCTAGACCACCGGCTGACATCTCTTTTCTCTCATTGGTTGGAATTGGGCCACGCCCCATCCTTGAACCAACGACTGCCATCCAGGTTACACTGATTGGCTTCAGTCCGTTTTTTTTTTTAATCTGGAGAGAGTGCTTGGGCTGGAGCTGCCTGGGAGGGAGGCACACTGGAGAAAGCATCTTGGTGCTCCTACTAGGAAGAAGAAGAGTTTAGAGTGTCAAGGAGCCAAAACCAGCCAGAGGCCTGGAAGAAAAGAGCATGAACAAGAGTTGGGGCTGGATGCTCCCACCCTGGCCACTCTCTCGGACATCGACTTTCAGGAAAGACCACAGAAATTATGAAATGTTTAATGTGATTGAATGTCTTGCAGAATCTGGTGAAGAGATTCAGTTTTGTATCCTGCATGGATGCAGGTGAATCCCAGAGA